GTAAAAAGCAGTTTAGCACTGTGTTTGACTATCTGTCTCTTATACACATCTAGATGTGTATAAGAGACAGGGATATCACTGTCAATGTATGTATCTAATTTTAACAGTAAATACCATGGTGTACTGTATTCTAGGGTATACAATGAATAGGCAATTTATTCATGTTGAGTAAAATGGCGCTAATGCACTTTCGCACCTAACTTTTAATTCTTAATTTTTTACTCGCAGTCACAACACAATTATAAAACATTTTTACATGATTCAACCACTCATAAAGTACATTTTTTCAACAAAAAGATACCTTTAATATAAGTTGATAGAGGGTTTCCACGCTTGCTAGCACGACGAGCTGTACTTTTTTGCAATCAAGTAAGAAATTGCCAGAATGTCCGAGTCAGTTCTTAAATTTTGAAACTAAAAGGCCAATCTTATAATTTTAATTGGAATTTTCCCATGAAACATCCGACAACAGAATGTGGCATCATGCAGTACCATCTTTTTTAACTAAGTTTCTTGTCCTAATCGAGGTTAATCGAACCGACGTTTATCATTGGCTTTAATAGTTGTTTTTCTGGATTTAGGCCTAGGCTCCTAGGCCCTATTTTTCGATCTGTGTATGCTTGGATCATTACTAATTTTTAAAGTAATTATTGTACGTGTGAATTTCATGTGGAAGATGTGTATAAGAGACAGTATATATATAGTGAAGAGTGGATTTGCATGTATGCTCAAAGTGAAATAAAATGATAAAACGATGTACAATCATTGAAGGTTGACTTGTGGAAGACAAATTTCTTAAAATATAGTAAAGTCAAACGGATATTTCGATAGCTCCTGCAATCTTTATCGTTAATGTAAGGAAACTTGGGAGATCTTACATATACATAAAGAATAAGAAATAGTATTAACCAATCAGAACCAAGTTAAATATTCAATCAGTTGATTGGACAACAAAATGTATTAATTACAAAATGGAGCTATCAAAATATCCGTTTGATTTTGTTATATTTTAATAAATTTGTGTTCTGCAAGTCAACTTTTAATGATCGTACACCGATTTTTTATATATATATAATGTATACCTAATTATTATCTATCTATATATGTTATATTTGTCAAATTTATTCTGACTGCACTTTCTCTTAGTTTTACTCAATTTCTAGTACTAAATTTAATAACAAGACATTTTATTTGATTAGTTAACAACCAATGGCAAGTACGCTTTCCAATTACAGAATACTAATAATATAATAAGAATAATTACAATTATCTATACCAATAATTCTTGGGTTAAATACACCACAATGAATTATAAATATTCTTTTGATATCAATTTAACATCATCAACTTCAGTTTAGTACTAAATTCATTCACATCCACCTTCTTGTGAGCGGACGGGCATGTTCCTCTTGTTTTCCTGTTGAAAATTAATACAAGAACTATGCTTACTAAAAATAATACCAACAGTAGGCCTAAAAAAACAGGTAGATTCATTCTGGCACAAGTCCTGATTGATTCACAGATCCTGTTAAAAATGTTAAGTATATTTTAGAATTTTTTTTTTTTTTTTTTTTTAGTTTATGAAAAATATTTATGGTTTAGTTTTTATTTTCCATCAGTGATTTTATCTCTTCAATTCTTTTTACGTCACAATAATGCCGAATGGAATATATAGGCGGTCAGCCTTCTGTGCATTTTCAGCAAGCTGAATTTCAACTTAGATACCGTATTTATTCGATTAAACCCCCCGGGACGTTTATTGTTGAGAAATGGTTTTGAGGGGGCGTTTAATTGAGGTAGGCGTTTATTCCAAATAATGCTCTGGAGGGGAGTTTACTCGAGGAGGCTTTTATTCAAATCCAAATAAATAAATACAGTACCAACAAATAAATGTAAGTACTGTATTTATTCAAATCCAAATAAATACAGTACTTACATTTATTTGTTACATATTAGAAGTAGACTCTAACCGATTAAATAAGCCTTTTAAACCTGTGCCGCCTGGATCACTTCGGCCAAGAGATTTTGAGCAACGCCCGACCACGCCCACTTACGGTCTTGTCGGGCTG